TCTTTGTTACTACTAGTAAGGCACCTGTTACTAGTAGCGATGCACTTGTTACTACCAAAAGAGCAACGAAGCGTTGGCAAGCTACGCCGAGTCGTCACACGCAGCCCTGTGGTGAGCAACGAACGATTTGTCCTTCCAGGCGGCGCGGCAGTGTACGGTGCATGAGGTGGTCCAAGAGCTGAAGGAGATGCAGCGAGCTAAGCGAGGCCAAGAGGAACACGTTGGTTATGATATTGGTTTCAAGCTCTATGTATTCAAGGTATCCGCACATGGCACCTGGAGCAGTGGAGGATGTGCATTTTGTGTCTTTTGAGGAGGACCCGCATGTGGCTCGGCGTTCAACAACACCGCCAATATGTTTTATATGTTGTTGGATTCCTTTTAAAATTTATGTGTTCTTGTTGCTGTTACGCATTGTAACAATAGTCCTATAAACATACATATTTTATCATATTTTATATATATACATGCTTTGGCTTTTGTTGCATGCTTCCCGTTTCCCTGGCGCCGCTTGGCACGGGATCCTTCTTGTGATATGGACATCATCACCTAGGTTCTTGGATCATGGACGTCTGGAAAGGCTGGTTACGGGTGCATCATTTGACAATCTAACATCTGAGTTCACCTTTGGAATTAGCACGACCCGGTCTTGAGTTCACCGGTTAGACAATTTGATAAAATCTGGTCGGCAGAAAAGTGTTACGCAATTTGATAATAAGTCAAGACATGTTGTACCCACCCTTTTCGAGCTGCATGAAGACTTCACATGACACCAGGTGGGATCTTCAAGCAGCGATTTCGACATCTTCCAACAGAAGAATTCACGAGGCTCAGTTCATGTGCGATCCAAGACAGGATGCTTGAAGACCAGTTGCAAGTTTGCAACAAGAAAGGTTCAAGAACAAAGACAGTTTTTTTTGTATTTCCTTTTTGCCCATAGCTTCGCTTTGCAACGGCTTGCTTCAAGGCCTTTACTTTGCTGGGGAGCACACCTGCCGCCTGATGTACGGCAGTTTGCAGGCGAGGAATCAACTTCACATGCACATACAGAACATCTAGACATATTTGGTTTGCTGTAGAACCTTGTTGAAACAACCTGAGAAGCTGCAAAACGAAAGCCAGCGTTACTATCGGCCTTTGTAAAACTATACCTTATCATTCAAATGATGCAAATGATGCACATTGCATTTCTTGCATCACCACCTCCTCAAAAATCACAAAGAATCACCTCCAAAACAACCTCAAAAACCTACCCCTAGACACCACCTAATTTGGAGTTTACGTAGCCCTTTCTCGGGCCACCCCCTACTAACTCACTTCGTTCGCCAAACACAACTCAGCTGGCGCCTTCTACGAAGGCTGGCTTTCATATAGATTGTTTTTTAATATAGATTGTCCAACTGAGTCAACTGAGCGTTCATCTCTAGGTTTGCCTTCACTCTCGTCAGGCTGCGGCGGTCTCGGGTGCACGTGCGGCTCTTCAGGCCTTTTCATACAGCACGCTCCGGTGTGGGTGTGAGTCTGCACGGGCACAATGAGTTGCAAAGAGAATCTCCTCATGCGTCCTGCCTTACTACTAGGGGCTGCTGGCATCGCTACTAGGAGCAAGAACGCTACACGTTCGAAGTCCACTTCGCCATTTAGGGCCGCTGGCCTGTCGGACCTGTTCAGGTCATTTCGGCCACCGACCTTTCCAGCGCGTGGCCATTCTTCCAGAAGAACCTGCTACCTGACCTAGCAAAGCCTAGCATAATGATGCAAGCAATGCAAGCTGCAAGGACAAAAACACGGTGAAGGCCGCTTGAGCGACAAAACGAATGCATTCCAAGGTCTTCTTTATGCGACTCTTCGCTGAACTTAGAGTTAACCGGAACATGCATCGAACCCTTGAGCGGGAGGGCTTTCAAGGGCGGGCAAGATCAATTCGACTCCCCTGTGCGAGCCCAGGACGAGTTAGCACCATCGTCACGTCAGGATCCTTGGCACATAGACGTGCGCTATGTGGTAACCGTGTTACGTGCCATGCTGTGCAGGATTTGTGCGGGGCTTCTTGCGCCGACACTTGGCAGCCTTTGGCCTCCCAAGTGCCGAGCTACTTCCAGAGCTGGCCAGGTGAGGGGGAGAGATGTTCAATCGGATTTCAACGGGGCATCTGCCAGGTATGGGTTTGAAGACTCGAAGCTGCTGGGAAGCTCTTGGATGGACAGAAGTGTCCTGGAAAGCCAAGAGCAGGTGCGGGAGCGCACTGGACGTTACAGTGATGCACGGTCAACTTCGACCCTCGCGTCCGGCTCGTCTCCCAGCAGCCTGTTCAGGATCCCGACCTCAAGCCAGAAGTCTTGGAAACAGCTAAGCCCAGAGGCCAGTGCAAAGAGAAACTGAAGTTGGCGTAGCCAACTTTCTTTACGTCTTACAGTGTTTGTTTTTCCCTGTGGCTGTCGTCAGGAGCAAAGATCAGCTAGATGTGTTGGCTACAGTCGTCAGCTTTGGGATGCCCCTTGGACTGATTTTTGGAGGCTCCTTGGAGAGTGCTGGACCAACTGAGGACTTGAAGGAAGACATTGCTGACTCCATACTTTGCCGAGCCTCAGCCACACATGAGACATTGTTCGCACAAATCCACTCACGTCTCCTGCAGTTTCCATACCTAAACCTCAACGTTCATACGTGTTCATGATTCATACGTTGATGATCGTTGATGAGATTGAATGTGAAGATGCAGTTCGATCAGACGGCTTGATTCTGAGCCGGGTGCGACAAAGCCCGGACTCAGGAAATGGCTCGGCTCACTTCCAACTGCCTTGGGACTGCTTGCCTGGACCGTTGATGGAAGATTGGTATCTTGGCCAAGCGTGTTTTGAGTCTTGGGTTGTGCAGAACTTGTGGCACAAACTTCCTGCCAAGGCGAGAATTGGGAATCGAACGTGCCGTGCTGCCGCTCGGTTGCACACAAGCAATCACAAGTGTATCTCAATTCTAATTTAACTTTTATTGTTTCTACTAGCGTCTAGCGTCCTTTGCTCCTAGTAGCGATGCCAGGAGCCCCTAGTAGCGTCCTTTGCTC